CTGACAGCCCCCGGGCCCGGGCGGGCAGGTGGAGCCGGGAGCCGCGGACCGAGCATGGAAGGTGAGAAACGACCCCGTTCTTTCCCCGTCGCGGGGTTCGGGGGTGGGGGGACACACTACGGTGTCCTCCCGTCCTCCCGCCGACCACCCCCCCCCCCCCCCCCCCCCCCGGCCCCGCCCGCGGGGGGGGGGGGGGGGGGGGGAACGACACGGGGGACTGCTGGCAACGCTCCAGGGACAGCACAGACCCTCAACTCTCACTGCTAGACCCACTCTGGTCCCCTCAAAAGTCTGCAGCACTGCCTGCACCTGCTGTGGGCTCCTCCTGCCCTCCAGCCTCCCTCCATCTTTGTTCCCCAGTCCCACTAATGGTGCCCTCCCGTCCCAAGCTCTCATGGACTTACAACCATCCCTTCCTCTCTTTTCTCCCACTGAGTTTCACTGCAAGGGCATCCCTCCACTACAAACTGTCGAACACTTCTGTACAGGGGAAACACCCATGGTTCCAGGGAGATCACTGGCCTCCCCTTCTGCCTGTCCCCATGCTCCATCTCCTCATTCATCTGCGTATACCTGGTGGAGGCACAGCCCCCACGCCAGCTGGCCAGGCTCCTTGGCAAGCTCCGAGCACAAGCCCTGCACCAAATGCCAGTTTGGATTAAGAGATCAGTGACATTTTCATACATGTACATGTATATGGAAATTTGCTAGTTTCATTTCTAAAAGGGCATATTCAAAGAACATTTGCTGAAGGCTTTCTCCAGAACATCTTTAGCAAGCACCACTTCATTCAGTCAAGCCAAGAAGGCTGCAAGTACGAAGGTGAAAATCTAGCAACATCTTACTTTGGAAGAAGTACTCCTTCAGTGATAATAATTTTTTATTTTAAAATTTTGCTCGAGTTTCTGTAAGATTTTACACTATTCAGAGTTTTAACTAGCAAAACGAGTCTAGTTGTGTAAACCTTACTGCATCTCTCTGTAACCTTAACACTCAATACACCAAATCCTGCCATAGACATGTGCTGAGCAACAAGCACAAGTCAGGAACCTTATCTTCTAATCAGAAGAGTCCACTCTAACAGGACCTGCCTTTGGCATCACCCCAATCAGAAAGGTACTTTATTGATACAAAGAATATTCTCTTAACCTTGCAACTCAGTCCTGAAAAGGGTTTCAGAGACCTGCAATTCAGCTATTAGTGATAAGCACAACAGAAACACCCAGAAGGAAATTAAGTATTGCTTAGATAACATGCAGTAAACATACAGGGCCATGACGTGAATTATGATTAAAAAAAAATAAGAGATAGCGAGTGCTACATACTCACTGAACACTTTTCATCCTGGGTCAATCTCTGTGAAACGTGACGTTATCGTTAAAGACCATGATAGCGCACACACCTCAACTCTGCCACTCCAGAAGCAGGCATGTGCCTTCACAGCTGTCACATCAACAGCCTCAGCGGAGACCTGACTCACGCACAAGACGCATCATCCAGCTCTAGGCCAAGGACACTGTGCTCTGCTTAACAGCCCATGCGATCTAACGCGTGCTGGCAGCCTCCTCCAGCAAAAAGGAGGGTGAGGAAGGTGAGAAAAAATCCTTTTGTAACTGCAGTTGCCAGACGCATTCAAGCTGCCAAGCGGATCTAGGCATTCCAACAAAGGTCAAGGAGGAACAAATGCAAGAGCTTGGTTTTCCCACTGAAGGCGGGGACAAGATCGAAATGGCAAGTGAGGAAGACAACAGAGCACCAGAATCATGGCTGTGACCATGAGTCTCATGTCCTCTGTGAAGGAGAAACGCGCAGAGCAAAACTAGGAAGGCCAATTCCTATTTCGTATTTATATTCAGACCTGCATGATCTCAGCCTGAGATTTTTCTTCCTATCCCTTGTATTGGGAGCAGAGGAGAACACACGAAGATGTGACTCATGGACAAATCAACACAGCAGTATCAGTCTGCAGGTAGCCTCCCTCCTGTGAACTTTAAACAGGAACAGAAACAGGGGGGGGAAAAAAGTCTGAGAAAAGAACAGGACAAAGCGGATAAAAACTGGGAACACAGATGCTTCCCCAGGAAGCACGGCAGTGTACTGCAACTGGAGATCGAACAATGAACCACAGCTCAAATGAGCACCTTGAGCAGTTCAAAGTTCAGCCGCTGTGCAAACATTATAATCTGCTCTCGCTGTCTGCAAACTATCCAGCCCCAGCCAAAGTTCTGCTATGAACAAAGGGGAATGCATGTTTTCAGTTGTATTCTTGAACAAAGAATCCTCCTGCCCAGCACTGCAGAGCCAGAAATGTTATGGGCACATACAAGGAAATACAGAATGTAACCCTTTTCTCCAGTTCTCAATCTGTCAAATGTCATTCCTTTGCTTTGATTTCATGTATCACATGTGGCAAAGAGCAATCTCTCTTGGAATGAGTCAGTCTTAAAGCACAGGTGGACAGATTCATTTTACTATTGACTGCCCTAAAGCTACAAATGCCGACAATTATCAGCGCTTCTCAAGAAGTTATCTACTCATTTCATTAAATCTCAAACAACACTCATGCCTTGACCTTCAACATCACCCTCTTCTTTAAGAAGAAAACCAAATTTACCAAGTCATGTAGACTTGAATTTTTTCTAATCATTTACTACTCAATTCCTGAAAAGGGTTCACAGGTCCCATGCCAGTATTTTAGTCCGCTCAGTAGAAATATGAATAATTGGCCACATTGTTAAGGCCTGGTAATAAAATGCCTTGAAAAAATGGGGTTCCTTCCACAGGTACTTGTGGACATGGAAACATCCTGGGTCTGGATGTGTTTCAGACTCCTTCCCCCACCCCGGAAAATGAGAAAGGAAGGGCTTCAAAAGCTTCCAGGCACCAGCACTGTGACTCCCACTGAGCAACCGAGCTTGTGTTGGAGAGAAGATGCTGAGTGTGGTCAGGCAGCAGAGGTGGTCCATCATGGCTCCTGTGACTGCTGCGCAGTGGAGGCAGAGGTGCTGACAAGGTCTTGAGGAAGGCTCTCCCTTGCTTCCTGCATCCGGCGCCGTGCCCTCTGGAAAGCCTCTACAACACAGCAGGTGACAGCAAGCTGGAATGCATCAGACAGCCTGAGGGAAGGGGAGGGATGACTGCCCAGTGAGCGTAATCTCTCCTGGAGCAGGAGTCTCACTTCCTATTACTAAGTTCCACTAACAAAACACCTGGTCCTCACTGCTCTCGTCACCTATTTCTAGCACTGTCTTTGCTTTGTGCATAATAGAATCAGAGACAGAGCCTGTGCATCAGCACCATAAGCTATGCTCAGTGCAAGGCAAGACTGAGCAGCCCAGCCTAGGCTTTGCCCTCCCAGAGTGGTTAACTCTCCTGCCTGCTGAAAGCTGATGCCTCCTGAAGTTTCCAGCTCAAATCAGAACATTTAACCTCTGCTACGGAGTCAGAGAGCTCATGAGGGTTGGAATTATACTCACAGTAATGTATTCTCCTGAAATATCCTGCCTACTCTGTAAACTGGCGGCAAAAGTGAGCCAAAGGCTCACCAGGGAGAATGACACTGAAAGCCTTACCCAAAACGTTGTAGACAGAGCTCTGCTGGCTGGAACCTCCAAGCCGGTCCAGTACACCCTGCATGCGCTGCCTCAGGGCACTGCTTTCCAGAAAGTCTCTGCACAGAAGTACAGCAGGAGGTCAGGGCTGCCAAAACATAGCACACAAGGGCTCATACTCACTTTGCTGCACGCACTTAGACTGCTGCAGGCAGTAAAGCCGGAACGTGACGCTCCCTGTTGTCTCTGTGCGAAAACCAAAGCGGCTCAGACGCTCTCCCTGCAAAGACAGGATAAGTTAAACCACAGCCTGCAACCTGCTGCAGCAGGCTGACCCTGGCGAAAATGAGCATGCCCCACCAGGAGCATGCCCTCCTGCGGACGCAATCTCTCCCTTCCCTGATGCACAGAGAAAGTGAGGTCAGAAAGAAGGACAGACGGTCCCAGGCTGGGCTGAGGGCAGGACCTAAGCGCTAGCAAGCTGATAGTGCAGTACTGGAGGAAGGTTTCAATAACTGCATCAGGGCTCATTCCAACACAAAGCTGCCAAGATCGACTGGCTCATTACACCAGCAAGCACCTCTGCAGCTTTCTTAAGAACGTGAAATTTCTACCTGTCTCACATCCACCAGCTACATGCGTCGGGAAACTGTTCCAGGTGCCGTACAGCCCAGATTCCTTACAAAACCCCAGGAAGAAGTCTATAGCTGGTTACAAATGCTGACCTGACACTTTCTGACAGGGCCAGCACAGGCAGCAGTAAGTCAAGGTAAGTCAAGGTAACACACATGTTCACCCACTTCTTTAAGTTGCACACGCCTCAGAAGGTACAGCACTCTGTCTCAGCATTTGCCCATACCTTCATTCATGATCCCAAGCCTCACAGAGGAGACATTTCTTGAGGACAGGACCACTGCTCATCCTTGTTCAGATCTGGTCCATGCTGTCCACAGACAACAGAAGCTGAGAGCACAATCTCCCATCTCCCAGCAAAAGCAATGCCCTGCAGCTCAGCCCACCTTGAAGGTTGATGGTATCCTGACGTAGGTGATGTCCTCCAGCTCTGGAGATCCACCAATGAAAAATCTCCTCAGCTCAGCGATTGTCCCCAGCTCCATGGGGCGCCAGGTAGGGATTGTGAGTATGTGGAGACCTGACCCAGGACAACAGGACAGCTTAGCAGGTATCACAGAATCACAGAATGATATGGGGTTGGAAGGGACCTCCGAAGATCATCTAGTCCAGCCCCCCCTGCCAAAGCAGGTCCACCTAGAGCAGGTTGCACAGGAACTTGCCCAGGCAGATTTTGAATGTCTCCAGAGACGGAGACTCCACCACCTCTCTGGGCAGCCTGTTCCAGTGCTCTACAAACCTCAAAGTAAAGAAGTTCCTCCTCATGTTTAGGTGGAACTTCTTATGCTCAATTTTGTGCCCACTTCCTCTTGTCCTGCCACTGGGCACCACCGAAAAAAGACCAGCCCCATCCTCCTGACACCTACCCTTTAAGTATTTATATGCATTGACCAGATCCCTCCTCAGTCTTCTCTTCTCCAGACTAAAGAGACACCAGTCCCTCAGCCTTTCCTCATAAGGGAGATGCTCCAGGCCCCTCATCATCTTTTGTGGTCCTCTGCTGTACCCTCTCCAGCAGTTCCCTGTCCTTCTTGAACTGGGGAGCCCAGAACTGGACACAATACTCCAGATGGGGCCTCACCAGGGCAGGGCAGAGCAGAGGGGCAGGATGACCTCCCTTGACCTGCTGCTCACCCTCTTCCTGATGCATCCCAGGATGCCATTGGCCTACTTGGCCACAAGGGCACATTGCTGGCTCATGGTCATCCTATTGTCCACCAGGACTCGCAGGTCTTTTTCCTCAGAGCTGCTCTCCAGCAGGTCAGCCCCCAACCTGTACTGGTGCAGGGGGTTATTCCTCCCCAGGTGCAGCATTCTACACTTGCCCTTGTTGAATTTTATCAGATTCCTCTCTGCTCAACTCTCCAGCCTGTCCAGGTCTCGCTGGATGGCAGCACAGCCCTCTGGGGTGTCAGCCACCCCTCCCAGTTTTATGTCATCACCAAACTTGCTGAGGGTACATTCCATCTCTTCATTCAGGTCATTGATGAAAATATTGAAGAGAACTGGACCACTGGGGGACTCCACTTGTTACAGACCTTCAATGAGATTCTGTGCCACTGATCACAACCCTCTGAGCTCTGTCTTTCAGCCACATTTCAATCCACACCATTGTCCATTCATCTAACCCACACTTCCTAAGCTTACCTATGAGGATGCTGGGATGCTGTGGGAGACTGTGCCAAAAGCCTTGCTGAAGTCAAGGTAGACAACACCCACCACCCTCCTCTCATCTATCCATCCAATCATGCCATTGTAGAATTCTATCAGGTTAGTCAAATATGACTTCCCCTTGGTGAATCTGTGTTGACTACTTCTGATAGCTTTCTTTTCCTCCAGATGCTTTGAGATGACACCCAAAATGACCCATTCCATCATCTTTCCAGGGATGGAGGTGAGGCTGACTGGCCTGTAGTTTCCCGGGTCCTCCTTCTTGCCCTTTTTGAAGACTGGAATGACATTGGCTTTCCTCCAGACTGCGAGCACCTCTCCTGTTCTCCAGGACATTTCAAAGATGATGGAGAGCGGCTCAGCAATGACTGCCACCAGCTCCCTCAGCACTCATGGGTGCATCCCATCAGGACCCATGGACTTGCAGATATCCAGTTTACTTAACTGTTCTCTAACTTGGTCTTCCTCAACCAAGGGAAAGTCTTCTTTCATCCAGACTTACTCTGTTTCCTCCTAAGTGTGGAACCCCTGAGGGCTGGCCTGAGAATCTATTCAGAGTCACAGAGCGCACATCTGCTGACCCAAACCACAGTAGGCTGGAAATCAAAACACTACAGAATCTCTGTAACACTTTCTCCCATGCAGTCACAAGCCAGTGTTGAAAGTATCCCCTGTCCATGAGGAACATCTCCTTACTACATGTGGGAGTCAGAATAGTTGTGACTCTCAAATTCCATATGGGACAGAGAGGGTTACTGCTATTGTAAAGACAGATATGCAGCATCACCCAAGAGTTTTATCACATAAGATTTCGTGACAGAACCACAGAAGGAGCAGGGACAGCAACATATTATGTGTCTAAGCAACAAGGCAGAATGGCACAGCATGCAACAAATCCTTCTTTGCTGCCTCACAGACAGCTAACTATCCCCTGAGTTTGCAGTAAGTTTGCAGATGACATCAAACTAGGCAGGAGTGTTGATCTGCTTGAGGGTCAGAAGGCTCTACAGAGGGACCTGGACAGGTTGGATCAATGGGCCAAGGCCAATGGGATGAGGTTCAATAAGACCAAGTGCCGGGTCCTGCATTTTGGTCACAACAACCCCAGGCAACTCTACAGGCTTAGGGGAAGAGTGGCTGGAAAGCTGCCCAGCAGAAAAGGACCTGGGGGTGTTGGTGGACAGCCGGCTTAACATGAGCCAGCAGTGTGCCGAGGTGGCCAAGAAGGCCAACAGCATCCTGGCCTGTGTCAGGAATGGCGTGGCCAGCAGGAGTAGGGCAGTCATGGTGCCCCTGTACTGGGCACTCGTGAGGCCTCACCTTGAGGGCTGTCTTCAGTTCTGCACCCCTCACTACAAGAAGTAGTCTTGAGCTGCTGGAGCGTGTCCAGAGGAGAGCCACCAAGCTGGGGAGGGGTCTGGAGAACAAGTCATACGAGGAGAGGCTGAGGGAACTGGGCATGTTTAGTTTGGAGAAGATGAGGCTGAGGGAAGACATCATGGCCCTCTACAACTACCTGAAAGGAGGTTGTAGAGAGGTGGGGGTTGGCCTCTTCTCCCAAGGGAATAACAACAGGACCAGGGGAAATGGTCTGAAGTTGCAGCAGGGGAGGTTTAGATTAGATACTAGGAAGAATTATTTTACTGAGAGAGTGGTCAGGCACTGGAACAGCCTGCCCAGGGAGGTGGTGGAGTTGCCATCCCTGGAGATATTTAAGAAATGTGTAGATGCGGCACTTCATGGCATGCTCTAGTGTCTGAAACTGTGGGGGTCTTTTGTGTGTGTATGGTTGGACTCGGTGATCTCAAAGGTCCTTTCCAACCATGAAGATTCTGTGAGTATGCAAAGCCCAGGACCAGCTGAATCCATTCCCAAGAGAACCACTCAACTTATTCTCCCAGACAATTAACATCACACCCCAAGGACATTTTACCTGGAGATGCTGGCAGCACCAAAGAACCATATCCTTCAACACGATACCTCTGCCAGAAATCCAGGGACAGGACTTCAAAGTAGAGAACAGGCCATTGAGGGAGACTGTCTGCAAGGAAGGGGAGCAGATCACAGCTTTGTGAGGAAGACTATCGCAGAGGGAAAAAAAATGCTAAATGTGTAACTCCACTCATAGGAAGTCCCTTCTGTATTTCTTCTACAATGACTAACCTAGATGTATGTGTGACTATTTCCCCCTGTAAAAGCTGAACCCTCAGATTTGAGGATGAAAACAGAATTATTAATAAGATGTTAAACATTTGGGAAAATTCTTTGTTTTGAGAGCAAGTCCATACTGGTTCCTCAATTATCTTTAAGCAGACAAGACAATCTTTTGTGAATGATGTGATGCCAAACAAGGGAACCTTATCTCTGACCTTTCACATCATTACTAGGGGATAATTAACTTGGATTCTCCTACAGGTCTCCAAGCTTGTCTTTTCTCCACAGTGAAACAAACTCATTGTGCTTATTTTAGGCTGAAAATTCATTAGTGTTGGTTGAATACTCAAATCCAATGTGAACATTGGATTCAAGTGGCAAGGCATGCCACAAAGCTACCCCTAGCAATTGCAATCCAAAGAGCAAGGGGGTTGGTGAGGAAGCAGCAGCAGCGTAGTGAAGAGCAGGAAGAGGCAGCAGAGAATACTAGCTTAAAATAGAGCTGGAAGTTTCTAAGTGACATAAACTATACAATGCTTGTTCAGGTCACTGAGTGTGTCTACAGACATAAGACTCAGCAGAGTTTTAGTTGTGTACAAAAAAGCTGCCTGTTTCTTCTGCTGCAGAGTTTTGGGGTTCCATGCAGTACACTGGCCACGGCAACACAGGGTGGCACGCCAGGCATTCCGAGACAGACAAGCTGCCATCCAAGTGGTTTTGCAACTGGATAAAGCTGAATACAGCTGGAAGCAAGGCAACATCAATGAATCCATACAAATGCTAATGCATTGCTGGGCAGGGCAAATATAGTATGTGTCCAGAGGTTGCATGGTGATAGGGTAAAGTTTCTGAACAGGCAACATTCCCTTTTGTTTAAATCTGTCATTTCATCTTGGTGAGAGGCCAGCAACATGCCAGATGGCATGACGCCTACAGCATGATCCAAAGATTTCAGAGTTTCCCATTTCAGAGCAACAAGGAAACACACCTTCTGATTCATCTCCTTGGGTAAAAAACATCTCCAAAGTGAAGGGGTAGCAGAAGTTTGCCACGTTATCCTAGAACAGGAACAGGACAGAGATTAGACTCCTGGACAAGAGAATTCATCGCTAGCATTGCAGTGGGCAGAGAGAGCAGGCAGAAAAGAACTAATGGTGACAAAGAGGTAATGATGCCCAAACAAGATCAATCACATTGATCTTGTCACACCTGACACCTGCATACACTTCCAAGTTCCATGTTGATGGAACAGGCCATTAAAAATAATGAAAAAGGGGAAAGACAATTCAGCGTAACTACTGCACTGCCATGATCTTCACAAGAGCCAAGCAAAATACCTCAAACAGTGGTATTACTGAAATGTTGTATGATAATTATTTTTGTAAGATGCAAACTAACTCACATAAAATACAGTAAAAATTTGATAAAATGAAAAATTTTTAAGAGAGGAGCTGGAGATAGCAATGGAACCAACTTCCCAGACAGGAGGAGGGGTTCATTTTGAGAAATCAATCTAGAGAACTTTGTGCATTCCTACCCCAGGCAAGCCACAACAATGCTTCATTAACTCTGAGCATTTGAGAACACAAAAATGAAAGCTCCAAAGGCAAGCAATCATCCAGAAGGAATTAAAAAGTGAGGTTCCAGAAACTGCTCTGAAGCAGTTTTACTTGGACACAGTGGCACCCTGAGAAACGGCAAGTATAACTCAAATGAGGAGAATCCCAAACATGCTCTGCCCTTGAAAGGAGCTCTCAAGTCAGGACCTTTGCTGAATGTATTTGTAGCTTGTTACACATGTTCCACTTCAGAGAATACCTATTTAAACTGTTCTGCAGGTCAAGCATCCTTACCCAGCCCACCTTCTTGGTAGCACACGTCTGTGTCACTCCTGAGAGCTGCTGGAACGTGGGGCTTGACCACTCTGGGAGAAGAGGAGAATGTGAGCACAGGGGTGAATGCTTTGGGTGAGAGAGGACTCACAAACCAGAGCAGCTCAAAGAAGAATGTCAGCCCCAGATGGCTGGGATAACAGGTAACATCACTCACACATTATTTCCCTAGGTGTGTCCCACCCCTTCTTGATCTTGTTCCAGGCAACAGCTGCTCCCCAGAACACCCTGAACTATCGATGAAAAGCACCAACTCAATTTTAAGAGAAAAGTAGAACCTTATCTAAATGTACCAAGTAGCAAAAGTTGTACCTCTTTGGACTAGCATCAGGGGATAACCAGAGAAGGGGCCAGAGCCATAACTTCCAGGGAATTAAACATGGAGCAGGATGTGCATGTTAGAGCTGGGAACCCTATGTATCAGTCAAAACTTAATATGGTAGTGTGAGCACAAAACATGAGAACATGATGGTGAGGGCTGAAATCAGACTGCTGAGACAGAGAGGACAGGAAGGCTATTCTCTGCAGTACAAGGAATGAACTTTGGGTAGATTGCTGGACACCATCACCACTGGTTGAGAAGCCAATGGACCTCTACGTTCTAGCCTGATTTGGAAGAGACGAGAGGGGAATATGCTACTTTCTCCCAGACATGACAGTTCAAACAAATGAGTTCTGCAATTTTAACTCTGAAGACCTCTGACTAGATCCCAGCCTGGACATTAACATTTTCAGACCTTCAGCAGAGCTGATCTGACGGACCAGCCAAAGCGTGCTTCATTCCTTAAACTGCTGTGATATGGCTGGAAACGTGAATACTTACTGCTAGGCAGCTCCAGGAAGAAATGAACATAAAGGTTGTCATACTCATAGCCTTGTGCTGAAACTGAGAAGAGAGAATGAACTTCAGCTGCTTGCTTCTACACAAACTCCTCCAGTACTCACTGTAGATTTTTGGGAGAGCCAGCACCAATAATCTCAGGGACAATCAGTTACTGCTGAAACCTGGGAAAAGCCACAGTCTTCAAAATAACTGAATATGACCCTCAGAGAAGATGTCTTTCTCTAGACTAGTCCTGTCCCCATATCACTAACTAGATCAGGGAGGTCACACATTTAAATGCTTTCTTTGCTATAATCTCTATTAACTTCCCAATCTGCTCTCCATTTTTTCAGATCTGTATGTCTTCCTAGAAGAGCTGCAGTATTTGTAACCTCCAATCTGTAAATGGATAATAATAATAAATTAACTCAATGGGTTAGTCTGCAAAAACAGGGCAGGAGAAGGAGGAAATAAAGGATTCTAGGGAGAAAATCACCTGCCCTGGACTGGCCTGTGATCCAAGAATCCTTGGAACCATCGTAGCCTCAGCCATCCCATAGATTTGCCCATATAGTTACTGTTTATAAGGACTCACCTATTTCTCCATTCACAAAAAGCCGTAGTGTACCAGGAAGAGTCTGTAGGAACGAACAGATAAACAAGATAAAAGAGCTCAATGACCACTGGTGGAACCTCATACAATCCCCTCCCAACAGGGTCTCACCCAGGCACTTCACAGAAGTTTGCACATAAATGATTCACTCTGCTGGTCAGGTAAGAGTCACGACTTCCCCTACCACTTCCAGTGAACAGTCCCTCTGGAGAGAGGCTCTCTAGAGAGACCAAATTCCTCTACTGCAGGAGTTTACTATTCTGTAAATCAGTCTCTTACAGACCTCAAAATGGATATAAAATGTAGTGAGAAGTCACTTGCAGAAATCATAGTCCTGTTTCTCCTGTAGTGTTCATGCACTTGCCCAGGGTGGAGGGAGTAAGAAGAAGCATCAGATGAGCGGAGACATTCCATCGAGGTACAAGAAAGTACAACTTTCACATTTGGCAAACAAGATTTGGGCAAATAAGATTGCAGTCTGGGTAATTCGGTGAGAAGGGAAACTGTGCATGAGTTTAGAGGTGGAAGGAGCTGTTTACTTGAAGAAAGTGGCACAGAGATGTGTTTGACATTCAAGAAGTTAACAGCAATCACTATCCCAAAAGATATAAACCTTCCTTTATTCTTAAAGTATTAAGTAAAATGCCTTCAGACAATGCATGCGGTCTCCTAGAAAGTGCAGTGTTCAGCATGCTCTGCTGCTGGTCCAACAGACGCAGGATGGATCTCTGCAGGCCCCACGTCCATTGCAACCTGTCCCTTTTGAACCAATTTTCTATTGGAAGCCACAAGGTAAAAGCTGCCAGCACAGTCCCAGCATGAAACAGTCTTTGGAGACTGTGGTACAAGCCACAGCCATGCTAACCAGGCCAACAGTCTCCAAAGGCAGCAAGTGCTTCAGGTCCCTGCTGAATGCTGTTGGTACTCACCATTTCAAATTCTGAGCCTACGAGACCACTGAGATATTCCTTGTGTCGACCATACAGCTGAAAACACAGAATAAGCGGATTAGAAAAAGCGTCTTTTTGATTATGTATGTTTTTACTTATTGCAAAAAATTTAATGGATTAAACTTAAAACCAATTTAAATTGTTGACAGGCTCAGCACACAAGGGGTTTTTAATTGTTAGGGCAGAAATAGAGAATGTAAGAGTCTAACAGAACAAAGATGCATAACTGCTAACACTGCATGGAACTTCAGCTTCAGAGAAGACCTCCCTAGAGGCCAATCTAAAGAAAAGAGAAGCTCTGAGGAATCAGATCTTAAATGACATGTTAAAAACACAGGCATAAACTATTCCAATTAAATCAACAGATTGGAGATCGGTGTAGTGAAATCATGATTTCCTTATTGACCACAAAAACAATAAAGGAAACAAACAAAGGAAAAACTAAAACATTAAGCACCTTTATAAACTGCCACAGCCCAAAATGCAATTCAGAAAGATTAAGATAAAAAAAAGGGCTTCCAAATACTCTGGGACTTTATGAGTAACAAGAATCATTCAAAAAGTATAAAGGCAGCAAAAGGAAGACCAAGGAAAGGGTTTGCCCACTGCTCAAAAGGGCACGAAAACCATTGGCAGGTGATACTAGAAAGGCATAAAAAGGTGGTTTCTTGCATCAGTTCTCATTACATAGATCCCTGCAGTCAGAGGCCAACACAACTACAAACAGATGAGGCCTCTACCAAGAGTAATGAATGAAGCAGTCAGGGAGTACTCAAATTGCTGGTCGTGATGACACTCACTGCCAGCAACACTGATTTTGTCAACTTTAGGTGTCTACAGCACTAACAATTACATATCCATGAGGGTCTGAGCTCCCTCTGTCAAATCAGAAATAGTCAATATGGTCAGTGGATGCTGGTCCTTACATCTCTGAACACACACTGCTCACGCTCCTCCTCCTCGGGCTGCACTTGGACAGATGCATTCTCAATGGTGTATTTCCACACATCTCGCTTCTCTCCATCCAGCTCGATCCTGCAGAGCCCAGAAACACATGGGAAAAACTCCCCCATTAGGCAGAGAACAGGCACAGGCAGCAACGGCATTAACTGTGCCATGCTGACACAGCTGTGCCCTCTCCACCAGGCCTGTGCAGTAACACCAGGGCACTAACTTGTTCCCAAGTGCCTGCCAGCATCGGCAACTCAAAAAGGGAGACTCTCTTGTGTCCAGCATATGCATAATCTGTATCCCTAGGGACTGGCACCAAACCCCACACATCACACACACAGTGACACCAAGCACAAGTACGCAATAAACTTGTCTTAAAAATCCCTGGAATAAAACTAAAAACTATCCCTTAATTTAAATGCTGATCCACTGCCTGAAGGGTGACCAGGAAACAGCCATTTCAGCCTTCTGTATCAGTCCCATGAGAGGTACCCGCTATGTCCCACTCACCGGTAGGCTCCTTTGCTGCCATTGAAGTCAGGCTTCACTGTGATCACCCCATTGCCATCCACCTTGATTGTGCAAAGAACACGTTCATACTCCCTGTGACCAAGCCTAATGGAAGTCAAGAAGAAACAGAGTCTAAATAGAGAACATGGACATTCTTGCTCTGGAACAGCAGAGCTGGTAAAGGCACAGGGGGATACAGAGGGGAACAAACACACCCATACATTATTCCTACATATTCCTACAGTAGTTTAAGAAGCATTTGGAAGGATATTCTCAGTTACCTCCCAAATGGGGAAAGAGGCAGAAAGAAATAGAAGCCTAAGTTACTAAGCTCTTGGAATTCTCTCCCCTTTACTGATGAAAGAAACAGGATATTTGAGTAAGGAGGGAAGATGCATTTCCTTAAGATCACTTCAGGATTTTACTTACTTCCCATAAGGTCCCAAGTCTCCCATGATGTACATGGTCTGGACAGGAGTATTAATCACATGATTGTTCTTTATAAATTCCTCTGAGGGTTCCCAGGTGATGATTTTCGACTTTAGAGAACTTGCTTCTCTGTCAACAATAGAACAGCACAAGTGCCAGCTCAACTCAGCAGCCTGGCACAGCCGAAGCTCCCATGAGGAGTCAAACTTATGGGTTCCAAGCACAATGCAGCTCAAGCCATCAACTTCCATAGACCAGGCTGCTCTGCAGCTGGAGCACCAGCACCAGGACACCTGCATTAGCAAACTCCAAGCCCCAGTTTGCACTCACATTGGCCTACGGTCTTGTCTTCTTCGCCTCACATTGGCCATCCTCTCTGCCAGATACGACGGCACCTCATGATCTGAGTCAGTTACCTTCTGGCAGTGCTGGAAGAGCGAAACAGATGGGAAACAGCTTCATTATAACAGGACCTCTTTCCCAAACACAGCTCTGCTCTTGGAGAACACACACACATGCAAGGACAAACTGCTTAAAGACTGTAGATTTCATTTGCTGCTCTTGTGGCAAAGTACAGCTAAACTCCACCTAGCAAGTTACCTACAGAGCAATGCTACAAAGTCAAGTCCTTCCAAGCTGGTCCTGAGCATAATTCTGAAACAGGGAGACCTCATGCCAGGTCTGGGGCACCAGCTGAAGTTGCTTTGCAGAAGCAATATGTTCTCCTGCATACAGGATACCTGGCTTGCTTCTGCATGGCCAAGAACTGACAAACACTTCCCGTACAGTAGGACTGGAGGTTTTGACAGACACTTGTGTATAGATTATGCGGAACTAAGAGCTGGTACCTCCTCTAGGTTGGTGAATCGGTCATGATCAGTGTAGGTGAAGATGCGATAGTTCTTCCGACCTCCAGATTTTTCCAGTTTCAGGATCTCCTCATGGTACTGCTGGTCCAGGGGAGTCTGGCAGGCAGACTCATTTTGGTACAGATCCACCTCAAACTGAGAGCACCACAGGTAAAGCACAAAAGCTGCCTTTCACCACTGCTGTTGGAGCCACAAACACTTTTCTGCTGAGATTTCCAAAGCCACCACAGAAAGAGACAAGATGCTCTGGGAATCCCAGCAAACAGCCCAAGCTCCAGGGCGGCTCCAACACCACTCCCGGGTCCTGCAGCCGACAGCACCCACCGATGCCCACCAGGAGGGGCCCGGGGGGAGCAGCTCACCCCGAAGCTGGAGACCCCGAGGGGAGGCAGGGCGGGGGGCCCCTCGGGCGGCACAAGGTGAACGAGCTCCCCCAGGCCGCGCCCCGGCCCGCCCCGCCCCGCACACCCACCTGGCTGAAGAGCTTCTCCTGCCACCCCACCTCGGCCTCCTCCTCCTCCTCCTGCGGGGGCCACCGAGCGCCTGCGTGAGAGGGCCCGGTCACCTCCGGCGGCGCTGTCCCCGCCCGCCATCCCCCGCACCCCACGTACCGGCGGCGGCGCGGTCAGCCAGACCCGGGAGCTCGGGGCCGGCGAGCGGCGGCGGGGCCTGCGGCAGGAGGGGCCCAGCCGAGGCCACCCGCTGGATGCGGACCCTGCGGGAGAGACGAGAAAGGGGAACGGTGAGGGCGGGCCGGGGACCGGGGGCCGGGGCAGGGCGCGGGGTTGCCCTCACCGGAGGCGCAGGTTGCGCAGGGGGTCGCGGGAGCGGTAGACGGCGCCGCCCGCGTCCGCGCTCCGCAGCGGCTCCGCCATGGCCGCGCCGCCGCCTC